TTGATGCATACGTGTACTGACTACGATGTAGAAGCTTGGCTGAGCTTTATACTTCCATCCATCGGTTGCCAGCTTCGACCAAACTTCGCTGATGGGCCTCTGGCCCTAAATATGGATATGACGTCACCAACCCTTCGTCCTACAGTACTGAAAACGCCATTTCTTTGTCACTTCGACCCCAACACGTACAGGGAACTTGGGCACTCAATTTTCGTAGCAATACAAGTCATGATAGAGTTAGTTTCCTTGCACATATTTGGTATTTGAACGGAAGTCCTAAATTCGGTCGTCGACACACTTATCACAGTGGGCTACCATTATAACCTCCATGAACACAAGAGATGGCTCGGTGATGTTTATCAGGGCGGTCGCACAACCAAGCCAATTAGCCCTAGGCTTGTCAGCCAACCCAAACATAAAGAACAATTGAACCTTCCCTCAACCTAAACCAAAGAAACAAATAAGGTTTCAAACTAAGAGAAAGTCTTGACAGAGAGGAAGAACAAGATCCAACGGCGGCCGAAACGGAACAGCCTATTTTGGATCTCAACAATACGAGAACAGGTTTATCCCCGGCCACATTCTTTACCGTCACGGACGACGTACTACCAATATCTCACAAGTGTCAACATCATCGTATAGCTTGAGAGACATGAGTCGGGTGCATTCGCTCTTACCCAACTATTCTAAGGAATTTCCACAAGGGTATGGTGACTTTGTCTTCAAGTCGATAGATGGTGTAGTATTCCACTTTCCACTTTTCCTGCTATCCTATGTCTCTCCTGTTTTTAAGGACATGTTTGCGATCGGCGAGGGCGATCAGAATCAGGAGATGGTGACGCTGGCCGAAGATCACGCGACCCTGGAATACTTTCTTCGTCATATCGATCCTTTGAAAGAAACTCCACCTCTTGATTGGAATTGCTTGTCAGGTGCATTGAAAGCCGCTGAAAAATATCAAGTTCCGGTTATTTTCAAGTGGTTCGAGAAAGAAGTTGCTGTATCCATTACTGCAACGCACTATCCTACCCTTCCGAATCCGATGCTATACTTTGCGATGGCTCGTCGCTACGAGCTTCGCATGACAGCAAGACTTGCACTTCGTGAACTCATCAAATGCCCTATCTCGGAGGTTTTGGGAAATCCAAGTGTAGACAGTTCGCTATTGAAGCATGTCATCAATTTGCGGGGAGAAAGGACGCAGAAGCTGATACAAGTGATCCATACGACGTGCCCGGCTATGTCAATCCGGGCAATCGATAGGTGCTATACGCACGAAAGGAGTTACAATGATCACGATTGGAAAATGCGAGTGATGCAAGCCGTCGTTACTGAGCCAAGTTGGTCGGCGATTGAGTCGAGTGTAGGAAAGCCAGCCTGCGGCAAGTGTGTCGTGTTGGGAGATGCAAAAGAGGCGAGAGAGAAGGTGGATCAGATGGAGAATGAGCTCCCTGCACTAGACTGGTGATGCATAATTTGTTGAGATATTCTCTTAGCAGGAATAAGCAGAAGGATAGCGACAAGAGGTGGCTAAAGGTTGTCTAATCGGCTCATCTCGACATGTTGTAAACAAAAATCAGAGTCTTTGTATAATATAAACTACTTTTAGTCAACAGAGATAAATAGGCAAGCGTGACGTCCAAAAGAGTGTGATATCCAAATTCGTCACTTCGACCCGACATAAACTAAACCTCGGCTTTACCTGCAGGGAAGACGGGCTCTCAATTTCTCATCACAACGCAATTTATCACAAAACTGGGTTCTCTTTGATACACTCAGCATCCCCATTTTTTTCACATGAGTGAGCCACCGAAAAAACGTCCTCGCCGCGAGGCTCCAGAGCTACCGACCCATTCGAAAGAGTTTCCAGAAGGCTATGGCGATTTCATCTTCCAATCAACGGACGGCGTGGTTTTCCACTTCCCGCGTTCTATCTTGGTGCACGTCTCTCCAGTTTTTAAAGACATGTTTGCGGGCGACGGCGACAGCGCCCCAAACCAAGAAATGACGGTTCTTACTGGAGATTGTGTCACCTTAGAGTACTTCCTTCGTCACATAGATCCAGAAAAGGAGACTCCACAAGTGGAATGGGATCATGTGGCCGGTGCGTTGCAAGTCGCCGAAAAGTACCAAGTCAACGACATCTTCAAATGGTTCGAAGGAGAAGTGGATCTGTTGTTAACTTCAGATCGATCCTTTGTACTGCCTAATCCGATGCTATATCTCGAATTGGCTCGACGCAATGACCTTCAAATGACGGCCAGGATATCGCTTCGGCAGCTCATCAAATGCCCCATTTGGGAAATCACGGACAGTCCCCATGGGGATACTGCATTACTGAAGTACATATTCAAATTGCGTGCCGGAAGAATGGAGGATTTGGTGAAAGTAATTTACAAATATTCCGAGCTTCCATACAAACACTCCCCAAAATGCTTTTACGCAAAGAAAGGTGCTTCTGGCACCAGCTGGAGGCAATGGGCGATCCAGGCGATCGTTTCGGAGCCAAGTTGGTCCGCGGTCCTTCGCGTTTTACTCACCAGCTGTGGTTGCCCCCCTCTGCAGCATACAAAACAAAGAGAAGAAGTGGAAAGGATAGAGGCGGAGTTGCCTAAACTAGCTTGGTGATGGAGGAAAAGGATTCCGTTGACGGGTTGGTCATGGGTACTGGCCTAAACATGACAGGAACAGACATATGAAGCAGATCTATGACATTCTAT